GGGCCATTGAAACCCCATTGCGCCCTGTGACCCCAAGGGAAAGACTAGCTAGTGTGCCCCTTCTGGTGAATGGGTACGATAAACGCTTCCTTGATAATGTGTGGATGCACTACAGACATGATGGGCAATCCGGGAATCTACTCCACAGTTATCACTAGAGGAGAAAGAGCCAGTTGGGTCCCTTTGTTTCATTCATTGGTTGGGTAACACTGTTTGGTGCTCCATCCCACCGCCATGAATATTGTATATTGAAGGATGCAGAAGGATTGAAGGGCAGTGTGTGCATTTATATGTTTATACCTGTATACAGACATAAAATGGGTCTAGCTGTACTTGGAAAAATATATGGACCAATGTAGAGATTTGGCCAGAGAACGTAAACACGATCTATTGTTGCTTGTCCCAGCTGTTCTTTTTTATTTTATTTTCTGTATCACCTCTTGTGTCAAGGTGGAGAGGGAACATAAACAAGTAACTATATAAAAGATGTTCCTTGGTAACCATTGATATTTTAGTTTCTTAATTTCTTTCTTATTTTTATTTTTTTGAGAACCATGCTGGCATCTCCTGTTAGGCTTTGTTTCTTGGTTTGAAATACACATTTTGCCAAGGTGTTATGTTATTATTTTACTTTAACCTATCAAGATAGATAACCCTAGATACATTTTGTCAAATGCAAACTAAGATATGTAGGAGTCCAAGTTCTAACAAACTGTATCAGTATCCACAGATAGAAGCATAACTTTGAAGATGCATATAATAACATTTCTGAAATTGGCAAAGTAAATCAGACTCTAACAGAAGATCTGGAATGGATTATGGTGGCTTTTTGTACCCTTTTTAATTACATTAACTTTTTCTGAGTTTTAATTCTGCCACCTTATTTTATATTTTTAACAGAAAGAAACTGGTTTTTGGAGGGGGAAGCAATGCAATTTTGAGAAAAACATAATCTGATCATTTCTGTGTGTGTGTTCTTTTTTTTTTTAGACAAAAGTAATCTCATGTGACATTCAGGGAGTTTTCATGATTTATTGATTTGGAATTCAATTGTGTGGCTATATAATGTTTGCTTGTTCCCTAATTATTATAATATAACATTATAAAATCATATAAATTAAATGAATACAATTCTAGAAACAATGTATATTTAATTTAGAGTGCTATATACATACTCATCTTTTTGGCTAATATTTAGTTGAGCAAGCTATTGGGACAGGAATTACAGACTTGAGTATTATTACTTTTACAGTGGATTTAGATCTGCATCAATATTTTTACTCTTGGATTATTGCAATTCATCCCACATATATTTGTTCCGTCTCAGGAGATAAACTGTAAATGTCACCACTAAAATCCGAGTCACTCCTGGGACCTCATTATAAAGGTGATTATACGCTCAAAAATGGGCTTACTGCCAGTTTCTACGCAATGTTTGCGATTTATAAAATACTAATTGACGGGAAACGTGCGGTCCGTCCACGAAACATCTAACGCCATGCGTACGCAGCTTAATCACAAAACACTGGGAGAGACGAGAAACTGGAACACCGTTGGCAGAAGGAGAATGGAGAGAAATATATGGAAATTAATACCATCATAAAATGTTACTTCTCATTTATCATATGACATAATTCATTTCCAAACATTGATTAAAGCCCAATCTTAAAATGATTAAACAAACGGCCTGTTTGAGACTCCTCAGTGCACCAAAAAACATAACTTGAGAAATAATAAATACGGATATGTGTTATTAAAACCACCTCGGAATATGTTGTGTTACATGTTATGAAGTTTTTCTCATAAATATAATAATAGACTTCTTTTTATACACCTTTCATACAAGGGAATTCAGTTCAAAGGCTTTACATCAGTAAAAATAAGACATAAATCAGTGTAAAAACAACGGTAGCAAGAGCAAGCATAAAATGGGATAAAATAAACGCTAAGTATAAAATAAATTATGCGTAAGCAGCAGGTACTAGATTACATCCAAGTGACGCGTTTTGCGTTTCTATAGTGTAGACTTTTTTTTTTTTTTTTTTTTTTTTTTTTTTTTTTTTTGTTTTCTTGCACGAGCATTCTTTAGTATAATATATCAGGGTTTAATCGCCGGGTTTTATGCCGCGCTTTGCCAAGACGTTGATTACAGGTCGCTCCTAAAAACAACAGGAGGTATGGAAACTATGAGCACCATATGTGGTAAATTGTACAGCTGAATATAACACAACACATTAGTTGTATTGGTTCTCTGGTGATTATGGATAAGTTGCTGATCAACAAGCTGGGCCTGGAAACAAACTACCAAATACAAACAAAGTCATGTCAGATCCAGTCGTCATTGACTCCACTCCGAAGGGATCCCCGATCATTTCTAAGTTTCTACATCAAGGGGAATGTCGTCCCTGGACAACAAGCCCCGAGGAAGGTCTCATGTGGATTGCCATGCTGGACAAATTTATATGGTGACGATCTGCCTCCATGCTTGTACTCTGGTTGTTCAATGCATCTACCAAAAAAAGC